TGCCAGATAAACTCTTAAATTATTCCCACGTTGAACGACACTTTGACCTCACATTCTCATCCTGAAATGTACAATAATTTATACGTTTTTAATATCAACAGCAGCATTTCTGGACATCCCTTACAACATATTTCCAAAATTCACTAAATATTACCAAGTATTTTTGTTCTAGTTTCTATTCCAAATATCTTAAGACAAAACTAACTTATAAGTAACTTTTCTGCAAGAAATATGAGAGGATTTTAGGTCAATAATTCCTTAACTTTAATGAAAAAGTTCTAGTCCCATTGACAGATTATTTTACTTTTAACAAGACATTTTTCCCATGTTGTAGGTTTCATAATCTTTTTTTATTCAGTATTAAGGGATTATGGACTTAAAACAAGCTGCTATTTCTTGCAGAAAAGTTACTTGTAAGTCTGTTTTGTCTTAAAATATTTGCACTAGAATCTAGACCAAAACTATGTCATAAGACTTGGTGCGTTTTTTTGTTTTGTTTTGTTTTTGGTATTGAAATAAGCTCCATTTTGAACAGTTCATATTTGTACTTTGTTTGAAATCATAATTTAATCCATTTCATAAATCTACCCCCTACTGATATACAAAACTGGTTTTGGTGGTTTTAATGAATTGTTTTTTTTAAATTTCCTTCTCCTCTTAAACTAAAACATTTTTTGTATAAAATATAGTGTGGAAATCGATCATTTCTTACATTAAGCATGAATTGTACAGTTTTGAATTTTACAAGGTCCCAGAATTTAAGTACATTTGATTTAAAATAAAATGATAATAATAATGGATTCATATATTCCTAATTTCCTGCTTCATGTTGTATTCTGATAGTTTTTTTTTAACGGCTGTAAATGTTTGAGTTTTTTCTGTTTTCACACAATCATTACCAAGTTTCTAGTGGTTCCTGCTCCGCTGCAAACCCTGGTGATAAATAATCTGACCTTCAGATGTGAATATTTGAGGGTAAAATGCTGATTCTTCTCTTCATGGAGGTTCTTTGTATCGATGAAGCCACAGCCAGCGTGGACCAGAAGACAGACAAACTGCTGCAGCAGACGATCAGAGAGAAGTTTCAGGACAAAACGGTGCTCACTATCGCCCACAGGTTAGATGCTCTGTCCTTTCATTTTCTCTCCCCCAGTTTGGTATCAGATTAAGACAATTTAATCCCTACAAAAAGGATTAAAGTATAGTTTAATTTCTGCTTCTCGGCAGAACCACATCTTGCTGTTGGATCTGTCCACCAGAGGTCGCCATAACTCCATTCTTAACTTAATTAAAGTTTTTATTGTTTCTCTGTACAGACTGTTTAGTGCTTCATGTTTTCTGCTTATTCAATGTTTTACCAAAACCAAGCAGGACTCTCATTCAGTTTCAGTCAGTTTAATTTCAGTACAAATCATCTTTTCTAAATGTAAGAGTAATCTGATAGAAAGTTTTCACCAGCAGGAAAAACTGAGCTTTAAAAGTTAAAACGTACTGTGAAATTTTAATAAACGTTAAAATTTAAAATTAAATCTGGGACTAAATTTTGATAGAAACAAGTGTTTGTTTTAAAACAACACCTGCTGAAATTCAGTTCAGTTTATTTATGTTGAGCCATGAACATCAAACATCAAACTTAGACACAGAAATACCAAAGTTGTTACAGTTAAATAAAACTAACCAAATAGCAAAAACTGAAATTGAGAAAATATTTTTTTTTAGCTGAAATAAAAACTGTAATTAATGAGGAAAAACCATAACTAACTGGAACTATATTGGGTGTTTATAAAACTAATACAGAAATTATATATATATTATCCTTCATTTTGTGTTTATGAATCTATTTATTACTAGAGTTGGTTGGTTGTTCAACAATAATTTAATAATTTTTTTTTAAAAATGGCATCTTCTGTTGAGTCTTCATTACCTTATGTATACGCAATCCGTATAAAACTATGAAAAAACTAAAGCCATTACTATAACTCATAAAAACTAACTGAATTAAGCAAACAAAAAGCCAAAGTAAAACTAAACTTTAACAAAAAACCCCAAACTTTTATAACCCTGATAAATCCAATTAATTAAACATATTCTGATTTATTCTAGTTATTTATTAGACAATGTATCAAGTCGGGTTCATCATTCAAATTTATAGAACAAATACTATCTAATGTAGAGGTGTCCAAAGTGTGGCCCGAGGGCCATTTGTGACCCTTGAAATTATTTTGTTTGGCCCCTGATCACGAGTCAAGAATAGTAAAAACGACCGAATGCAAAAAAAAAAAAGAAAAATGTCTGTTTTTCTTTTAATAAAGCTTATTGAATTCTTGTTTTCTGTCAAAACTTAGCCCCAGATTTCCTTTTTTTTAATGTCATTAAAGGCTCACCTTTATTGATGAACCTTTATCATTAAAGGTTCATGCTTTAAACTTTTAATGATGTAAAGATTTCACAAAAAATGTTTATTGTTGAGCAGGTAAAAGAAACAAACCAATAAAATAAATTTAGCATCTTTAATTGAATGAATTTTGTGGCCCACCTGTGGCTCAATTTTGCCACTTTTGGCCCCCGGGCCTTAAAACTTGTCACCACTGACCAAAGGAAACCCAGCAGATTGCACTGAGTCGCAGCATTGTCAGTGAACAATCGTTAACATTGTGTCACCGTTTGTTTCGTCAGGATCAACACCATCATGGACTGTGACCGTGTGCTGGTGATGCATGCTGGGAAGGTGGTAGAGTTCGACACGCCCGCTGCTCTCTGTCAGAACGATACGTCCATCTTCCACAGACTGGTTGGTGGGCGAGGAGATTAGTCCATCAAGAAACCAATGAATGAATCCAGCTTTTCTACTTTATCCTGGACGTTTTACTGAGAACTCTGTGATGTTTTTTTTACTGCATCTTCCTGTTTATATGTCACTTTTCTATTTAGAAACTTGAATACAGAAGGAAAAAAAGCACCTTTAATGCCTGTGGACATGGATGAGATACTCAGGAATACATCACTACACTTTGTAAGATCTAAAGGTTTGTTGTACAACTGGGGATTTTTTTCCAGTTTATATTATTGGTTAAAGTGAGGAAGACGTCCCAGTTTGTGTTGAAACCAACTTTGTAATAAATATACTAAAATATTATCTCATAAGATTTCCATCTGCCTTCTTCAATCAGATGCAGTTGCTCTGACATTGTTAAAAAAGGGCCTGTTTTGCACAATTCAGCATGTTTGTATACTTCCCTCTGGGTTTCTACTGCTTCTAAAAAAACAACTCAAACTCTTACAAAAACACCCCGCCGTTTGTTGGCAATAAGTTAATGATTTTCTTGTCTGCTTTAAAAACCTCAAGAATATAACGTCACAAATCAGCAGGCACTGCCGTTACCTAGCAACCCCAGCCAACCCCAGGCCATTACCTAGCAACCCTAGCCATTACCTAACAACCCCAGCAGAGTTCCGCCCGTTACCTAGCAACCCAAGCTGAGCTCCAGGACATTTGGTCATTTGGTCTTAGCGCAGTATTCAGTTTAGTTCAATTTAAAAGTACTTTATTCATCTCAAAAGAAAATTAAATGTTGTAACTTGTAATAATTAAAAAAATTCTGAGTTATAGTAGATGCTGATGGTTGTGGGCAGAGAAGATCTCCTGTAGCTGTCTGTATTACAGCTAACTTGACGAAGCCTCTGACTAAAAACAGTGTTTCTCTAAGACAGTCTCAGGAAGATAATGCTCAGGAATGTATATAGTTTTCTTGATTTTTATGTAAAATCATCTCTACACTTTCATCTCCAGTCGTTCTGCAGTTGTTCCCTGAACAGAACTGGCCTTCTTCATCAGGCTCTTGAGCCTTTTTAGATCCCTGTTCTGATGCTGCTGCCCCAACAGATGACAGCAGAAGAGACGGCGCTCTCAGCAACAGACTTATAAAAATATCCATAGTACAACGGCTGCTGGAAAAGACAAGTGTTTTGTTGTTGACTTGCCATCCAGAAACCACTTGCTGCATTCTTGTAGGTTGTGCAGGAGGCTCTATTTCTGCTTTTCAAGATGTATTGTTGAATAACTGGGCATCTGTTTGGAACCATTTTCATGTGTGAGTGTAAACGTTGAGTTGGGGGTCGTGGTCAGCAGCTGTTTGGATGTAAAGTGACATGAGGCCTTTTCATTCTGAAAGGCAGAACTGACCAGACTATAATCTCATTATCTAGAATGATTTTGTGCAAAAAATATAACGATCCAGACCTATCTTAACTTGTTCACAGTAGAATAATAGGCTCTGTTAAAGTAAACATTTTTATCTTTTGATTGCAATTCAAACTAAACATTGAACCAATGACTTCCAGATTTGTTTCCATTATTTATTATGCCAAGGAACAGCTTCACAAGTGCTTTTTATTTGCATGTGATTACTAAGAACAACTGGCCCCCCTGGGTGTAAACACAGCCATCCATCCAGTTTGTTCCAGTGGGGTGTGTCTGGAAATCATTATTTCCCATTATATCATCAGAGGTGATGTTGCGCTGCAGAGATACCTGTAGGTTTGGGTCGGGACTGTTTTTGTTCCCAGATTTGCTCAGACAGCAGTCTTTGTGCCCAGCCTGACACTGTAAGGAGCGTGAGTCATCCGGTGAACGCCCGCCGCCGCTCCCTTGGCTCAGGTCAACATTCTTCTCACACCACTCACGTTGTCAGGAGGATTGTTTGAGTTTTGTTTTTCCTACTGTCCTCCGTTATCATACCCAAAAAAAGTGTCTACCTGTAGCAAAAATAATAATAAAAAGATGAGATGCTGCTTGGTGAAAAGTGGGTCAAACTGATATTTTATTCCCGCGCCGCAGCGTCCGCTTTGTGTTTGCATGCATGTGAGACGCAGGTGTGTTGCAGTTAAGGCGTGTTTGCCGGAGGGAGGATGAAGTGACGATTCTCCACATGGTGTCAAGACGGTCAAGGCCCAACCTGTTTGTCTGCTTCAGGAGGAGTATCCACCTGCTTGACAGGTGCTCCTCTCAGTGACAGCCAGGTGAGCCGACAGCACAGACGCAACTTCAACCTGGAACGGCCGGATGGATCCCCAGGTCAGCTTGGCTTTTAATTTTACTAAGTTTATATTTGTTTTTTGTTTTGTTTTTTCAGGGAATGTGCTGCCTGGGCTTTGTTGATGTTTTAATGAATTTGTAGGTGAGAAAGCTGCTTTCCAGGTGTTGAGTTTCTGGCATGCAGGCAGTTTCTGTCAAACCAGCATGAGATTTGGGCTCTGCTTCAGGCATGCTGTACTTCATCCAGCAGGTTTCAGCAGTTCACCACAGATAAATATCTTCTAAACATTACATGATGTTTAGAAGAGCTTAGAGTTGCTGAAAATCCATCTCCATAAGAGTATCACTACTTTCTACTCTAGCAAAAGTGAGAAGTAGCTGTCCACACTGCAAAAACACCAAGTCTTACCAAATATTTCTGGTCCAGTTTCTAGTGCAAATATCTTAGTACACTTGAAATAAGACAAAACTAACTTGTATGTAACTTTTCTGCAAGAAATAGCAGCTTATTTTAAGTAAATAATTACTTAATTTTGATTAAAAAGTCCTAATTCCACTGGCAGATTATTTCATTTATCAAAGGGAAAGTGTCTTGTTAAAAGTGAAATAATCTGTCAGTGGAACCAGAACTTTTTAAAATCAAAATTAAGGAATAACTTACTTTAAACCAGCTGCTATTTGTCGCTCTAATGTTTCTTGTAAGTTAGTTTCGTGTCATTTCACGAAACTATTTCAAGTGTGCTAATATATTTGCACTAGGAACTAGACCAAAAAAGCTTGGCCAGATTTAGGGTTTTTGCAGTGTAAAAAATTCTTCCAGTATTTTATAAAAAAAAAGACTTATCGAGTATTGCATAATTGATCATAAAATCTGGCCTAATATTTAAAATTATTGCCATTAGGTACACAACAATGTAACTTTTTATGCAAATTCTGGTGTTTTAAATAGTAGATTGGGCTTTTAAAAAATACGATAATTACAAAGTAAGATAAATGTTTGCATATCTGCTTTTTCCTACATAAAACAGTAGTTAATGTGCAGAATAAGGAGCTTCCAGTGATAATGTGAATAGTTTGCTGTATCTTCATGACCTATTAATGTCTCAACAAATAGAAAATAAGATAAAAACAAAGCAGTGTGAAAACAAGAGGTTTCTCTTCAATGTAAACTGTAGATTTGCATCTGCATCTGGTGCATTTTGGTTAAAACGTGTTTGCTCTTTATTTATTGACGTTACTCATAGTGGGTTCAATATTCAGAGAGTTTACTCTAGTAAAAGTAGTGATACTTAATAATAATATTGTTCAAGTAAAAGTAGAAAGTATGTTCCAGTAATTCATGTTTTCTTTTTTCCGTTGCTAACTTTTGGTTTTGAAGAAGATATAATTAATGTACACACACCTACAGAGTCTTCTCCACCTCTTTACTTTCTTTCTTTAGAAATTAGAAGTGGTCATTCTGGTTAAACTCATTAAAAACTGGATAATCTGTGTCTGTCCTTGTATCACTTTTCCATTTTGGGTGAATTTAGCATTTAATATGTAATATTTAAAGGTGCAAACTGATTATTTAAATCTGAATAATCAGTTTGTGGAAACCAGTATTGATGGTGTTTGGGAACACCATCAAACTTATTCTGAAACTGATATGGAGATTGTTAATCAGTTAGATAACCACACAGTTTACCTCAGAATTGCTTTGTTGAATGTTAAAGCATTAGCTCAGTATCAGCGATCAATGAGCAGATCTGCAGATGTGATTTTGAAAGTTCATTATGAATCTGCACTGATTCTCAGAGACCCAAGGACGTTATTTTAGCTTTAATTTAAGGGGCGATGGCCTGCCAACTTTTTTATTTGAGCATTTTAAATAAATAAATATGCCTTTTACCCAGGGAGTTACATAATGTGCAAAAGTCTCAAGCCACTGCCAGTAGCTGACTGTTGTAAAATTAAACAGTTAAAATGCACCAAAAATTATAATTACTACAAATAAAGCCATGTACATAATTACATTTGTGTAAATTCTGTGTTAAAATATAATAGTTGTGAAGGAAAACGCAGAGCTGATTATAATTCATATGATGGCAACAAAAAGAGGACAAACTGTTGGTTACTGGTTGCTATGGTAACCACCAACTGTCAAGAGCAACATAACTTATGTAGCAATAAGTCAGGAGAAAATTAATTTTTGACCAGACTAAATTAATATGAAGAATAAGTAAACCAATTTTGACAAACTTCACATGTATAATAATGTTAAAATAAAACCTTTTTATACACAAATGGGTTTTCTGTCCATCCTGTAATTCCTCCCATAGTATGCTCGTTCTAAGTTTATCTTAGATGAGCCTTTGTTGTAAATTGTGCTCTTTAAAAGCGAGTGAACACCTTTCTGTCAGTGGAACATGTTCTTCAGCTGACACATAAACAGTTTCATTTTTTTCCCCAGGATTCAAAGTCATTCCAAACAAACGCTGTTGTGCGTAAAGCTGTATTTATTTATTTTTTGCAGCAAGGTGATTTCCTGAGTACATTTTCTGCTGTGTATGGATAAAAACATGTAAAAAAAACAACAAAACAAAGGACAAAAATATATTTTTAGTCTGAAAATCCCATTTAGAGGTAAAATTTCAAAAGTGATAATCATTAAAAACTGGGAATATCAGACGTGAAACCGTTTTAGCAGAAGAATTTTGAGGAAATGGCAGCTAATGTCAAGTTCCATTAAAAATTAGACTATTATTTAGTAGTAAGAGATTTTATGTCTCTATTGTTCAGTCTTATTTAGTTTATGCTGAATGGTAACTGCACATAAAGCTGTCCAAAATCACTATGTCTTAAAACATAATAACAATATATTAAATAAGGAGTGTAGGAACTTTGGAATGTCATAAAGATGTCATAGTTATATAGACCCAAATGCAGGAAGTCTTACACTGCTAGGAAACTAGCAACAACAAAAACACAAAAGTACCAGAGACACGGTACCAGAAACCAAAGAGCAAGTAACGCAGAGGGAAAAGGGAGGATCCGACAAAGAACCAACAGATAACTGAGGTTTATAGACTAGGAGGGTGATTTCTGGACCAAAAAACAAGTGAGTCAGATTAACTGACAAACATTTAGAAGTGAGCTACTGAGCAATAATAGCTTAAAACAAGGACATGCAAAACATTTGAGCAATCAGGGAACTTAAACAAAAAGAAAACTAACAAACTAAGCCTATAAACCACATAAAGGTAAACACAGATAGAAAGGACATCACTAAATAAAATTAATCCATAGTGACACAAAACTCGAAACTGGCTCTGACAAAGGGAGCATTGACGACCAATCCTTAAAGTTTCTAAACGAAATCACATGAATGTTTGTCATACGTTTAGGCTCTGCTAAGAAATTAACATGAGCATTAAAAAAATGTAACTTATTGTCAGTTAAATGCAAATTCAGTTTTGACTTATTTAGCCATTTTGTTTGCATCTGTTTTTAATGCGTTCTTGCAAGACATAAAGAAAGGAAAGATGTTTCAGCTTGACCTCATTTGTTAAACAATAAGTAAGAAGTTCATCTAAATGTTTTTATAAGAAACTCATCCAGCTCATTTTGTGTGATTATGAAATAAGACAATGCGCCAGGACGTCTGCTGTACTAGAAAGCAGTTTGTATGGTTTCTCTGACTGTTTACTTTTATAAAGAAACGCCTAAAAAGCAGTTGTACTCAACAGGAACCGGTTTCTGGTTTCCTTTAATGACCCAGCGGCTAAAAGGCATAACTTACATACTTATAAAGTTTCCTGGGTGTTGCTTATACACATAATAAAAAAGAAGAAAATACATGTTATTCCCTAAGTCTTTCAGCTTTTCTAATATGTTTTAGGCAGACATGTATTTTTCTACTTCTTTAAAGTGAAAACCTCAGTAAAACTTTCCCCCCCCCCCCCGACCTCAGTGAGTAAAAGAGCAACACCTGCTGCCAGGATTTAAGCTTTTATAGAGGCAACATGCATTACGTTTTGAAGACACTATAAGTTTTTGTCATTTGTGGTGATTTTGATCATCTTTCCATGACGTCCATTGACTACTTTTATTCTTTTTCTAGGTTTAGATCTAAACGACCATCAAAAATATGGTAAGAAAATACAATTATGCAACAGTGCTTGAGTTTTTGTTTACTTTTTCACTTGTGGATAATCATGAACACTAAACAAATAATATTTTGTGTGCAGGCAACGCATCGAAGGGGGCGGAGCCTCTCTGAGGCCTTGACCCTGGAGGAATCGGAGAACGGGGCGCTGGTCATTTCCAGCGCTACTGATTCCTCCCACAACCTGAAGGAAGGTATGAGCTCTCACTACTTATTGTCCTCATTTCAAAAGCAGATTGTTGTCGTGAGATTGACAGTTAAAAACATGCTGACTGTAAGAGTTGAGGAAATTATTGTCCCCTGGACTAAAATCCAACTTTTCTTTTTTGGCTATTTCTGGAGTTATCCGATGAGCGTTGCTTTAATTATGTGTGTGATTGTGACATTTTCCCCTCACATTTAAAAAATATAAATTTGGACCCAGCGCTGTTTCTAAAGAATCCAGTCCACTTGATTGATAGAAGAAAGATCATACTGCTAAAACTCCACTGCGGGTTTTCCTGATTACCTACAACAACTCACCACACCAAAATCACCTGAATAACTCTTTTCAGGAGCTTAGAAACAATAAGAAGGTATTTTATTTACTTTTCCCCAACAAAATATTTCTATTCCCCTCCAAAAAAGAAAATACTATTAAACCAGGGCACTTTGAATGCAACAGTGCCACTTGGTGGACAGAAAAGTATATATAAACAAACATCTGTAACGTCCATTTCCACGTGCTGAAGATAATAAAAACATAAATCAGCTGTCTTCTGGCAGTTCTGGTTTCTACATGTGCAAAAAGACATCTGTGAAACAAAAACTAACGGCAAACTAATAAAGCGCAATTACAATAACTCGCCACAAGAGGGCTTGAAATAGCAACCATTGGACACAAAAGGGTAAATTAAAAGTTATATTTACGGTCAAAATAGCAGCGAGGTGTCACAGTAACAATTGAGAATATATCCTGAACAATATCCTGTCATGTTTAAAACAAAAATATGAATAAAGCACCAACACCGTTTCGAAATATAACTTACCCTCACAATGCTTAACAGTGCCGATGTGAGGGACATTAAGTCACGTAGGCAGCGGCGCAACTACATATTATTCAGGTGGATGCGAAAACATAAATCTGCGCGCCCCCAAAGGAAGGTACGTAAGGGTGAAGGAGCGTAGAAAACATACAGTCGCTCTACACCCCCGGACGAAGACACGTGAAAGGTAAAACTCGCTACATTTACATGTGGGCGAGGTGAAGTGTATGCGAAGGCATCATCGGCGCGCCGCCCCCTCCAGACGGGGTTTTGAGGCGCACTCTGGTGCAGCGCTCCTATGCGTTGCATGCGCTGCATAGCCACTTTTTGCGCCACTGCACGTAGGCATAGGTTGACAAGCGCACACAATACCGGACCTTCAAATTAAAAGCTCAAAAGAAAAGAATTCACACATTTGAAATGATTATTTCAATAAATGGTAGCGTAAACTGGTTTATTTAACAGTGCATTTTTTAACTCTTACATGTGCTCTGCTAAGAAGTAAATGTGACTTGTGTCATGAGGTGGTCCAATCTCCTGGTTTATCTGTGCTAGTGGTTTAGTTGAAGTAGCTTGAAAGCTAATGCTAATGCACTAAATATAACTATGTTGATACCCACCATGTTTCAGTGACACATCATGTTACAACATAGTATATCTGTGATGGCAAAATATCGCCCTCAATTTGTTATTCCACACTTAAATGTACTAGTGGATTCATTGTTATTGTTGACTATTGCTAACTTGTTTGCTGATTTTGCCTAACTGGCCAGAGCAGAACTTTGGTGAAAAAGTTCAAAGGACATCAGTAGAGTTTAAACTATTTATTTGCTTCACCACATCACGGGTGGAGAACAATGGCTCTAGGCAATGTGTCCACCCCTCCACAATGAACAAATAAGTCAATATTTACGCAAATATCCATTTTCTTTCTTAGGGGATGAAATTTTGGGAGCAACGATAGATTTTAATCAGCTGTCAAAACAGGAGGTGATAAACGTGCTGAAACTGATGGAGCCATTTGATGACAAGGTCAAAGTTCTTACCAGAAGCTGCCTGAGCAGGAGTGTGGACAATTTGGACCAGTGTGCCAGAAATCCAGAGGCAGTATGTTGAACTTGATGGCGTAAAATTGATGCCTTTGAAATTACAATCTAACCAACTAGTTTTGCCTTCAATTTCTAGATGCTGATGGATTCCTATACTAAACTCTACAATGCCAAAATAAAGAGGTTTGTGAAAGATGACTCATCTGCTGCTGGCAAGGCCGCCTCATCTAAGGTCAACCTAAAGCGTGACATGGGGTTGCCTCGCCTTGGAGTTGACTTTGGACTTCTAAAATCCACATCGTTGAGTGCAGATGCTGATGCAGATTCTAAGTTTGAGGTCAGAGATCTGACGGATGGCACCAATCTAAACCTTCCACCACTTGGTGGCAGTTTGAATGGACCTACTGCTGGTAACACCCTAGTGCCAAGACCAAGACTTGATGGTAGAAATCCACAGTCTCATCTTGGAGACTACCATCTCTCTCAGGCATTACCAGATGATTTAAATGGCATAACTGCAGCTGGTGATCTGAAAATGCCAAATCTTGAAAAAGTTCTGGATACAGGATTGGCCTCAAAAGGTTCAGATGTGTTCCTTCCAGATCATGACATAGAGGTTATGGGACCAGATGGAATATCAACAGTTCCTAAAGGTAAACTCAGTCTGAAGCATGCCAAGAGACTGAAAACCCCAGATCTAAATTTAGATGATCCATCTGGTTTCATGGAATCACCAAAACTTAAGCTGTCTGGGACACTACCTCAAATGGACCTTGGAAAAGTCAATGTGGATACTCCATCTGGGTCAGTCCAATTGCCTAATATGGAGTGCCCTGGTGAAAGTCTGGGTGGTGATAAAACAATTGATTTTAATGTTAAAACCCGTAAGATAAAAAGTGGCATGTCTGCATCTGATGCTAATTTATCCAAAGTCGACTTGAAGGGAATAAATTTGGCCACTGATACTCCTTCAGCTAGTGTCAAAAGTCCGACTGGAAAGTACAAGGCTCCTAAATTTACGATGCCCAAATTTGATTTGCCACATATTCAAGTCCCAGACTTAGATGTGGATATTTCAGGTCCATCTGGGAAATTTAAAAAGCCCAACGTAAACATGCCTGACTTGAGCCTTTCAGGTACATTACCAAAAGGTCCAAATTTAGACTTAAATGCAGATCTCAAGTCACCAGATTGGAGTCTCAAAACACCAAAGATCAAAGGTGGGATAAATGCTCCTGATCTGGTTTTGCCAGACATGGACCTTAAAGCTCCCAAGTTAGATATCAATACACCAGATGTCAACATTGAATCACCCAAAGGAAAGTTTAAAATGCCTAAAATAAAAATGCCCAAATTTAACTTCCCAGGCTTCAAAGGACCTGAACTTGACGGCAACCTAAATGGTCCAGATATAGATGTAAATGCACCTGATCTAAATCTTAAAGCACCTAAAGCTGATCTAGATTTGAACATGCCTGACCTGTCTGGGAAATTCAAAAAGCCCAACCTGACGATGCCTGATTTGGGTCTTTCAGGTCCAAAGATAGATGGGCCCAACTTGGATTTGGGATCCCCTGATCTTGACGTCTCCGGACCTAATCTCAGAGGTGGAATAAATGTGCCCGACATCAATATGCCTAAGGCTAACTTTAAAACCCCCAAGCTAGATCTCAGTGGTCCAAAGGCAAACTTAGACATGCCCTCAGGAAAGCTAAATGTGCCTAAAATTGAAGGTCCTGACTGGGATGCTAAGGGTCCTTCAGGAAAACTCAAGATGCCAAAAATGAACCTTTCAGGTTCAGGTCCAAATTTGGACTTAAATGCAGATCTCAAGTCACCAGATTTTAGTGTCAAAGCTCCGAAGGTCAAGGGTGGGATGAATGGCTTTGAAATGCCTGATGTAGGATTTGGGAGCCCATCAGGGAATCATAAAAAGTATAAAATGCCAAAAGTTGGATTTTCAGGCTCAAAGTTAAGTGGCTCTGATCTTGATATTCCAAAAATAAAAGGTGGACTTGATTCTCCCAACCCGAGTTTACCAAATAAAGACTTCAGAACCTCCATACCTGATTTTGATGTTCCAGATGTTGAATTTGGTACTTCACCATTTAAACTGAAAAACATGAAAATTCCTGATGTGGGATTTTCTAGTCCAAAGCTAGAGGACCCTAAACTTGATTTCCCATCACCAGATTTTAATGCTAAATTACCAAAAGGACAAAATGTGAAATTAAATCCAGACCTCAATTCTCCAGAACTGAATCTCAGAGCGCCAAACATGAAAGGTGGAGTCAACTCCTCTAAGCTTGGTGCACCAAACGTCAACCTTCAGGCTCCCAAGTTGGATATTAACACTCCAGATGGCAATATTGGTTTACCTGGTGCAAATATAAAAAAGTCCCAAATGAAGATGCCAAAAGGCCTCAATGCTAACCTAACAAGTGACCTTAACATGCCCAATATATCTGGTGATAGTCCAAAAATATCAGGACCAAAGCTGAGAGATTCTGATTTTAGTTTGCCAGCTTTAGATCTAGCTGAATATGGAATAAATGGTCCAAAGCTGAGTGCAAAACAACGTAATACGAGAGTAAATGGCAACATTGGACACCCAGACATGAACTTCTCTGACCCAAGAATGAAAGGAGATTTAATTGGTGCACGCATGGGTATGAATTCTTCTTTGATAGACATACGTAGTCCTCATCTAAGATCTCCAGATCTTAACATTGACAATGCTTCCATAAATTTCAAGGGAGTCTCGTATAAGAATCGCAGATCAGATATGGCAGGTATGAGTTTGAAAAGACCGGATTTAGACATAGATCAAGACATTCGACTTAATAAAAAATATACTAAAACCAATGTGAGGTCCAGCTACCCTACAGTGGATCAAGGTTTACACCAATACATTGATTTTAACCGTTCAGATCTCAACATTGATGATTTCACAGGGAGAGACCACGTGCTTAGAGCTAGGGGTTCACAACCAGACCTCCGTGCACAATCTAACCATCCACAATGGATCCCATCTTCTGGGGTTTATGTTGACCCCAGAAACAGCAGAAGATTGCCAGATGGTAGCAGAGATCACAGTATGCATGGTTTACCTCAAAATAACCTTGATGGTTCAGGAGGATACTTTGTCTCTGTTTTCCCCAAAAAAGCTCTTCTGAAGAGTAAATACAACACAACCAGTGGGCTTGGGTTCCCAACAGCAAAAATGGACCTTGATGTTCCAGATGAAAACTACCTAAAGGGCTCAACGTACTTTTTCTCCAACATTGTATAGTCACAGGAGCACTTGCATGTCTCTAATTTTGTATATTTAATATTTTGCTTTATTTCTTTATTTATTGTGACCATTGTTGCTGTGTGTGTTCTGTATATTTTTGTACATAAAACCATTTGCAGCTTGGCCGAAGTGCATTGTAACGGATATTTTTTTCAGTTGTTTTATAATATGCTAAAACTTTTTTTTCCTTTTTTTTTTACATTTTATTTTACACAATACTTGCTCAAAATATTTTACAGCATTTAATTTTTTTAATACTATTCTATTTGTTATTTAGTTGTTTTGATGTTGAAACTATTGGATGACATTGTGCAATAAATTGTTTTTATTCTATTTAAAAAGAATCATCTATAAGTTTTAAATAGTTTGTTGCCTGTTCTCTGTAATCGAAGGATCATTGGATGAAATAGTTAAACATACATATTTTCTGATTTTAGCTTAAACTGACTTGTAATTTCTAACATTAAAATGCATAAATGATGATGTTATTGAATTGCTTGTTTTTCCCCCTTAATAACAGAAAAGTAGTTTCTTTATTAGTATGGCATGCAGTTCTGTCCAAAAGTGTTGGCAGTGATATAAATGTATTATGAAGCTTCTGTACCATCTTCACATCTCTGGTTTATTTTATATGTGTTCACATATACTACAGTATTCAGAATAATTAAAAATCATAAATAAAATTCCTTCATTTTCATGACTTTTGCCATTTCTTCTGTCATACTGGATAACAATTTTTGGAGATACACTGCCGATTTGTGAAGTTTTTCAACTTACAAAAAAATGGAGAGATTTGCTATTTACATCGTAGGCACATTTTAACTGTGAAATGTACAATTAATTTAATTTCCCTTTGAGGCTATTTAATTTTCCTTTTGGATCAATAAAGTATTTTGAATTTGAAACACCGAATCTGAAATCAAAAATCCAGAAAATTACCTTGTACGATTTTTAACTAATTATCATTTTATAGCACAAAATAAGTGTTTCACAACCAACTAGCAATATTTCTGACTCTTACAGACCTGTTAGTTTGTCTTTAAGAAAATGTACCATTGTCATCCATCCCCCATCTTATAACAATTTAAAAAGATCTTTTTTGTATCTTCTTTTTGAAAAACTGATTCATATCCTTACATTGTTTCAGTTAATTATTTAATCCATTCCATAGATCCACCTCACACACACACATACACTTATTATTTTCCTACTGAATGGACAAGCTGGGATGTGGGATGTTTTTTATTTTTTTAATCTTAACGCTCTCTAAGTTTATTACCTTTCTACTTGTCATAGATTCTCAAGATTCTCTCGAAGCTCTTTGTATCTTGCTTAAACATAAATTGTGCAGTTCTGAATTTAACCAAATCACAGCGTTTCAATATATTTGACTTTAAAAGAATGCTCACGAAGTCCTACTTGTGCTATGAATAATTCTAAATAGTATAATTTGTGTTTTCCAGCAGATTTTGTGGTCTAATGGCACCCCCAGAAATGTAATTTCCTTTTTTCTTTCCATTTCGACTTTATCAATCATTTTGTTTGTACATCTAACAATGTTTTTATATATAAATTTAAATCTTTATTTTTTGTCTTAGTTTGTATTATTTGTAAACAACGTTTATTCAAAAATACTTTGTGTGAACTGCGCATGTCTGAACTTCCATAAACGTCATCAATATGCGCCTCTATCTTAGCTTACGGAAAAGGCTGTCACACGACCTTTCCTGCTGCCTCAGTATGTCATGTTTGTTGCTGTGACTTGGAGTTTTTAAATGTAACAGAGATAGAAAAAAATTCTGTTGGTAGAATAAGAAGAAAAGAACATGCTTCGTTTCTCCTGTTTGGTTTTCAGCAGAGGAGCGGCTCGAAGGGTGAGTTATTCCCAGCTAGCGGTCTCCATGCTGCAGTCCGTCTGTTATTACCGTCATATGTAGTGAAAGTGAGAGAAAGATAACACAGTTAACCTGCTATTAACCATGACGGAAAAGGTTTACTCCGATTTAATTTTAAATAAAGGACAAAAAATAATATTAAGTCTTTTTATGCATTTTTAAGTGAATATCTGGTCTCGATAGCAGTCAGAAATCAGGATCAGATAAAGAATCCTATTCAGGAGATTCACTCTAAGGTAAAACAATATAAGGATAACGGACTGTATAGTAAGGACAAATTTACAGCATAATAAAAATACTGTACAGTTACTACAGAACTCTGCAGCTGGGTAGGGTAGTTTAAATAAATGTGCATTGTTAGGCCTGTCGGAATAAATCAATTAATCACATGATAAATTAACACTACCACCATAATTTCCATTTCCATTATTTATTTTTCTTTTTTCTCTTTTTCTGCCAAAAACTGGATGACAAAAATCTTCAGTCTGGACCTTTGGTCTCAAGTAGCACATAAACATTTTTGTTTACAGAGACTTTGTAATTAATTTTATTAGTTGTTTCTGTTGTTTTGTTTACTTTGGATATTTAAAATGTCTTCCAGTTCGAATGTTAAATAATAACAATTTGTAGTCCAGCAAAATGTGTTTTCATGAAAGGTCTACTCATCTAGTATTCCTGCATTCAGCTGCAGCTAAAAGTGTTTGATTACATTTTAAAACTTGTATTTTTCTTTATAAGTATTTCAGTATTTTATTTATTTTTTCTCTCCTCAGTTTGCCTCATCTTTCTCCAGTGAGACCGCTCTCCCTCCAAACTTACGCCTTCCCTCTAATCTTGTGGATCCTGACAGATTACGTAAGTCTGACATGGAGGTTAATTAAATGACTTCGATCTTAACAGCTGATTAACACAAACATGTTAATATTTCTCTCTTCACTTGTTTCGTTTATTCCTGCAGGGCGTCCTCCACCTCCAGAAGACTCCTCCCTTCCTCTAATCAGGAAGTGCGATGCGGCACTTCCTGCTCACCTGAGCCCCGTGCGGACGTGGGTGGACACTCTGGAGAGTAAGGACAGCGAACCGTTGGGACTGACTGAACTCCACCCTGATGTCTTTGCGGTGTCTCCAAGGTATGTAGAAACCTTTCATCATGCCGAATTAAGATACTGAGTCCACTGCAGGTTTAAACTGATCTTCGTTCTCTTGATACAGGCTTGATATTCTACATGCTGTTGAAACCTGGCAGAGAAATTACAAAAGAATTGTAAGTTAAATACAGTTGAAACCAGAAGTTTACCTTCATCTTTTTTTTCTCACTGTCAGTTAGAATTACCAAAATTATTTCTATGTGCTGAGTGCTGCAGTGTGTTATTAAACTGTATGATTAATTAGTTAATTATTATAATTGGTTTAAAATTTTGAACCAAAAGTTTGGGTTTCCTTATCTAAGGACTAGCTGTCATAATGTTACATGTATAGTCGCACAACAATAAAGTTTAATTAATACAAGAATAAAGTTTTAATATTACCAGAATAAATTCATAATATTAGGACTCTGAAGTAGGAATTTTGAGAACTCCTGCACAAAAAATACCAGAAAATTAAAATGAGGAATGCTGACAATATGGTGAAGTTATGCTATCAGTTTCACAGATAAAGAAGCAATAAATCTTTTAACACATCAGCATCAAATCATTATCAGTAGGAGGATTTTGAAACTTTTGATTACGCCACTGATAATACTAATACTCTGTTGTACAACACACAGAAGGGATGATTGAAATAAAATCCACTTTTTGAAAACAAAAAGTGGATTTTAAAAAGTAATTTCTATCTGTTTTTTTTTTTTAGAAAATAATCCATTTAAAAGAAGTTTTTTAGAGTCACTTTGTTTTTCTAAGTTTATTTTCTTGGCTGTGACAGAAACAACTAATAACCTGACTTTATTTTAACGCTTCACAGAGTCATGCTAACACAAAGGTGAGGTCAGAGGTGCGAGGCGGAGGCAGGAAGCCATGGAACCAAAAAGGAAGCGGAAGAGCTCGCCATGGAAGCATCCGATCGCCGCTGTGGAGAGGAGGTAGCTTCATCTGCTGTTTAATTTCATTTTTAAATAAATTCCCTCCACTTAAACTAAACTTTTGCACTTATAAAGAAGGCTAACTTCTTTGCTGAGCCATAAATTCAGATGTAGCTTCCTTTACTGATGTGATCCAGAAGGATTCACGTTATTTTTTTCCCCTCAGGCGGAGTTTCTCATGGGCCAAGAGGACCCAAAAGTTACTACTACATGTTACCCATGAAAGTACGAGTGCAGGGGCTGAAAGTGGCGCTAAGCTCCAAGATGGCTCAGGTAAATATGATATTCAGTTAAGTTGGGTATAGTACTGTCAGCTGTGGCATGGAAAATAATTAATGTAGGTAACTTATGTTAAAAATATGGAGTTTATTAATGCTAACCAGTTCATGTGTGCAAGTAGAGGATGATGGATTGTTCTTCAACAAGTACAACAAAGGATTCTGTTGGTAATAGATGTAGATTATATTAAATTTATTCTGCATTAAGTCATTGCACTACATTATTTAGTGGTGATTCCTATTAGATTGCAGAGTAATTGTTTTAAATAAAATATTTAATCTTTTTTTTTTATCGATGTCACGGTGTCACTTGTCTCCAGTGGTGAGCACACCTTAGCTAATGTGCTAATAGCTGAGCTAATTTTACGTTTAGCACTTTTGCTAACTTTGAAAAATAATTTAAAAAAATTTTCTGGATAAATTCTGAAGCGCTAATTGGCTTCCCTGTTTCGTAAACTTTTGGTTCAGAAAAGTACGACATCTTCGTTGAAATTTTTATCTACTGTTAATTCTTGAAGTAGTCATGCTCTTATTTTGAAGAGGATGAAAACCGTTTGTGCAGTAGTTCTGTTTCCTCTCCTAACGTTTTCTTTCCCAATAATTTAGTTTAATAAAAAAAAACTAACAAAAAAATGAGAATATTGTTTTTATTTATATTATAGAACTTGTAAATTATGTCAAAATCACATTGTTGCTGAAGATTTGTGGTAGGCTTAAATTGTAATCTGAGCTAAAGTCTAGCGCTTATTTCACTGTTAGTCTAGCAGTTTTGGGTTAGTAGTACAGCTCCATTTTCAGTTAGTCTTGCCCATCACTTGTCTCCATAATCATTTCTTGATAACTCTGAACTCCTGTTTTCTGTAGCAATACCTTCACGTAGTGGACTCCCTGAACATTCCCACGCCAGACTCCCAGTACCTTCTGGAGCTCATCAGAAGCAGACACTGGGGAGAGTCTGTGCTGCTGGTTGATGTGTGAGTATCTTACCTTACTGGTGTAAATCAGAGCAAATAAGTTTTCTATTCTAATTCATTCTGTGGCTGCTTTTAGGTCTGAAGAGTTCCCTGAAAATATCCTCCAGGCTACAGAAAACCTAAAGACAGTTAACCTTATTCCAGCCATCGGTGAGTAAAGTACAACCCGTGCATTAGAGCCATTGCAGATAGAAAAGAATAAGAGTAAATACTGGCCAAAACACTGAACTGGATTAAATGTCGTTTATTTCCCCCGTCAGGTCTGAATGTGCACAGCATGCTGAAACACGAAGCCGTCATCCTGACTCTGGACACGGTCAGGTTTCTGGAGGAGAAGCTCCTCTGGCACGACGAGCGTTACACGTTTCTTTACCCGCTAAAACTGCCGTACTCCGACTTCCCTTAGAACAACTGATCTGTGACAAATTCACTGACGAGACTGTTTTATTTGTTTATTATGAATGTCACAATAAATAATTATACTTGTAAAAAGTACAAAAACAGTTTTGAAAATTGTGCAGCTTAAAACTGAGAATTAAACTTTTGTGGGAGGCGACGGTTAGCCAGATCGTTCCTGATGGTCCAGCGGAGCTCGGAGCGTTTCTTCTGCGTTGGCACCGTGTAGGTGTTGGGAACGTAAACCCTTCTGGGCTTCTGCTCAAACACAATGAAGACAGGAGATTAGAGCACCCTCCCTGTCACACCTGGGCGGGATACCTTGATTTAAAGGCGCTTCCAGAACAAGATGTTCTATTACGAGCAGGAAGTGGGAGGCGACGCAGTGTCCAAACGCGAGGTCTGATGTAACTCAATACATTCCCAGAAACAGATCTGAAGAGTTTCATCAGCCCTTAGGAATGTAGTTTACATTTTTTTTTACCTCACTGTCTGAAGTTAAATTAGACCAAACTTCTTTTTTTAGGTTGGTCAGATTTACTAGGATTATTTACATTTGCTAAATGCTACAGTAACAAGAAAATATATCAGATTTATCTATTCATTTCTTTAAAGTCAGAGGTTTTACAATCTCTTTAAATGATGGTGATTGTCCAGACTTTGGACAGACGTTTGAGTTAATTGGAGGCACACCTGTCGCTGTATTTTAAGGCCACACCTGGAACAAACTGCTTTCTGGTTTGACACGATTAGAAAGTCAAAACAAACAAGCTGAGACGTCAGGAAGAGGATTGTACAGATGTTCAGGTCTGGTTCACTGTGGAAGGTGCTGCGTTCATTTGTTCAAGGAATTATGCACAAATCTAGACGTGATGGGAAAGTCCAATTATCAGGCCTTTCGGAAAGGAGGCGGGTTCTGTGTCCAGAGATTAAAGTTTCTGGTCCAAAATCTGCAGATTAGCCCCAAAACAAAAGCTAAATAAAACGTAAAGATTCTGCTGAAGCTGGTCATCATCGCATCAATATTCAGTGCAATGTGTCATGTACCAACATGGGCTGAAATGCTGCTCAGAAAGAAAGAAGCCATTTTAAAAATCTTCATTTTTGGAGACGGGTGTTGTGGTTTGATAAAACCAAAGTGGAAATGTTGGGACATAATGACCATTTTTACATTTGGAGAAAAATTGAGGAAGCCTTTAACCATCCAAGCACAGAGGTGGCAGCGTCATGTTGTGGGACTGTTTTGCTGATTTTTTTCTTACAAATTTCTGACTTTTCAATATCGGAGAATATGGCTACATCACAAATTGATGCCTATAATCATGGAAAAAAAATTTTTCTTGCAAATTTATGGCTTTTCAACTAATTATATCCAAGTTTTTCTCATAAGTGTAAAATTAAACTCTAAATTTACTTCTCCATGACCACATTATTATTATTTTAATCCATAAAGCAGAGTTGTACGTGTCACTGTGCATTTTTGCCACTGAATGAGGAGGAATGTGACTCAGCTAAAACGTTTTAACTCCTTTCTGCCCAGAAGCAAAACTGACTGGTTATTATTGGAGCCACCGGGGCTATGCTGCCCCCTGTTGGTCCAGATCTGACAGCGCATTCATTAATCCCTGTAGCAGCTGCTACATCTACTGCTCAACATAAAATAATTTTAAAAAAGCAAAAACAATAATAAAATCCAAACAAAAATCTTTCTGATGCACCAGCTTAAGTGATTTTGTTGCAGTCAACCCTGATTTGTTGATAAGTTGCTTTATTTTAGTGAATAAAGCAGCTTTGTCCTACATTTCTCTTTTGCATGTTTACTTGTAAAATACTTGACTGCATCAAAACAAGCGATATTCTGTTAAATCTTTCTTCCTAAAAGATTTAAAATGCACCGAGGGGTAATTTGAAGAAGGTTGGAAGAAGTCTGAATGTTAGATTCTGATTAATATTCAATAAAAATACTTAAAACGTCTCAGTTTAAACAGTTTAGGCTCCCCTTAGACCAGGGGTGCCCAAAGTCGGTCCTGGAGGGCCGACATCCTGCATGTTTTAGTTCTCTCCCTGGTTTAACGCACCTGGATCAAATGAAGGCTCATCATAAGGTCTAAGAAGAACAATTGACATGCTGAAAAGATTGTTTCAGCATGTCAATGCTGAAACAATCACCAGGGAGAGAACTAAAACGTGTAGGATGTCGGCCCTCGAGGACCGACTTTGGGCACCCCTGCCTTAGACTATACTCTGAGTTGAATTTATGATTTATCATTTCAATTATATTTATTAACTTAATAGTAAATTAATTTGCACATGTCCTGAAAAGCTCCAAGATGAAATCAACAACCTCAACAGAAATATATATTTTTAAACTTTCTGTATTAAAGTGAGCACTGCTTGAAAATCTGTCATGGAGTCAAACACGTTTCCCCATCGGTGGGATATTTTAGCTGAACCACTCAAACCACATAAATAATAATAAATTAAACTACAAAATGATCTGTGTACCTGATCAAAAACTGTGAGGAAAATTCATTTTTTATGCTACAGGCAAATAATGGTGAATACTCACAGGCAGAGGCTGGTATGATAACTTTTCCTGAAAACAAAAACGTATAAAGTAATTTAAGCTTATAAACATTTACCAGGTAGTTCTAAACTTAACACTACTACAAATCCACTTTTTGTTTTTACTTCCAGTACAGTCCAAATTTATACAAATACTTCTACATCTTAGAAAAACTAAATTGTACAAATGTGATATTGGTGCATCGTTCCACTGAAGCAGTTAAACCGAACATTGCTCAATGAGGAAAGTTTGAAACATGTTTCTGTACCTTGATCTCCCAGCGGAGAGCTTTCCTGACGTTGTCTCCAGGCACTTGGAAGGCGTCCCACATCTCCTTGTACTGGAAATACCTGCAGAGGCAAAAGTATCCACAGCAGCTGGCGTCAAACTAGAGCAGCAGACTCCAAATGCAGACCGTCAAAGAGAAAATGGGTTTTTGAAGAACTTCATACCAATGATGACGCCAACCAAAGACTGCAGTGCAGATGACACAATCCAAGTCTGGTTTCATGTATTTATTGTCATACCTTCTGCTCTCACATCTTTATGATTTCTGGGAATAATTCCCACAAGGTTTTGGAGTCCATTTATGGGATTTTCCCACCATTTGTGAGGTCAGACACTGATGCTGGATGAGAAAAACCATCCGTGTCCTAATCAATCCCAAAGCTGTTGAATCAGGTTGAGTTCAGAATCTGTCATCATGTTATAATGTTACTCTCTCATCAAAAACACTCCTGGACTGTTTCCTTGATTCTTTCATGCATGTTTGAGGGGTCCTTCAATCTCCATGGCAACCATTAAGATGTGCAAAACGCCTGGGTGGACCTAGCTCCGCCTTCAAGGACACAGCTCCTCCTCTGAGTTGCAGTTTTCCAAGCTTCTACCTCACAACTACGTACCTCAGACTAGCCAGCGATATGTTTCAGAAAGAGCAGGCAGAAGGCAGTAAAATTTATTTTAAGTCATATTTGATATTTATAGCATTTCTATAACAACTGAAGGCACCATAATTACTTGATCATACTATAAAATGCCACTATGTGCCTGGAAAACATAATTCTGCCCCTTTAAGGCTTTGTATTGGTGCTCGCCCAACAAAAGCCATTCCAGGAAAATCTATATCTTGAGCCTGTAATTATTCACTCTGTCAACTCTTCAAACTACATGTGGTTTTAGGAAAAATTAAGAGGTAGTTTTGGTTAACTTTAAACATTTAGTTCTTCATTCGACACAATAGAAGATTTATTTTATTGTTTTCGTAGATTTGAGCCAGATGTGGATAAATATTTGTGCTTAGCCGAGATATTTCTACCTTACCTGGTCACTGGATCATTCTTCTTAATGGCTCTTTGGAACATCACCGGGCGGATGACTGAAACACAAGTCATAAAAAAGTTTTAAGTATTTTACAACAATCTATGGACCTAGAGACTTCTAGAACGATAAAGCTTAGCTATGACCCACTCCTTCGTTTCTGGTTACTTACAGGATTTTGGTTTGGGTCGTACTTCCCGATCACTTTGAGTCTGAAGGTAAAAATGTCAAAAATCAGACATTTTAACATTTAAAGCTGCAGAGCGTAACTTTTATAAAAGTATATTTTTTTCCATATTTATTAAACATGTCACCATATTGTGACAGTTTGGTGTGAGAGATCATTTGTGAAAAAAATAATCAACCTCCTTCAAACCCTTCTATTGGTCTGCAGAAATGCTCCTGGTCAAAAACAACCAATCAGAGCCAGGAGGCGGGTCTTTGTGCTGTCAATCATCCTCCTGTAGGCTGCTCACTGTGCTAATGGTGGAAAAACAACTCATTACTGTTACATAAAAAACGTTTTCCGCCATCTTTGGTGGCTGTGCTAACTAGCATTAGCAATCATGGCATTCATGTGAACCAGCTGTAGAGAGTGATTGACAGCGCCAAGACCCTCCTCCTGGCTCTGATTGGTTCTTTCTGACTAAGCTGTGTATTTCTGTAGTTAGTACTGGGAGCACTGGGATAAGAAGAGGAACACTGTCATCACAGTGATAAATACGCAAAAAAAAATTTTTTAAATAAAAGATACATACTGCAGGTTTAATAAATGTGACTTGGAAAGCTGCTTCACCCACCACGACGTCAATACATGATCTGAAGGCAGGGAAGTCGACGGCGTCGGTCTCTGAGCCCTGGGAGTCGTTCTCATCTGTGTCGTAATCTTTCCGATCTGAGGTTAGATCAAGCTCAGCCATTCGCTCTTCTAAGCAGCTCGAAGCATCTGACAGACAATGAACACAATTACGCTTTGCTCTCATGTAGTACAGCTCTGGTTTTGAAAGCATGAGCAGGAGGTTATGTTTGCATACAGAAGTAAAACTGAATTACTATGAATTACATTCACAGTAATCTCGGAGCAACTGGAATCATAATTATTGATTTGCTTTTCCTCAAAAATTAGTGTTGCAGAAAAAAGAAGAAAAAAAATCAACCTAGAAATGTAGAAACTATTGGCCTGTCTTACACTAATGCAATCTTGTAAGATTTTTTTTTCATGTTTTTTTTGTATCTACAGTAATGTGTTATTCTGTTTTTTACAAGTCTGTTTTGTTTTTTAGCTTAATGAGCTGATAAAATGAAAAAGTCTAATTTTAAAAATAAAAAATACACTGCAAAAACACAAAATCTTACCAAGTTTGTCTTATTTCAAATGAACTGAGATTATATCCAACTAAACACTTTGTAAGATTTTGAGGTTTTGTAGAGTAAATTTTTGTAGCAAAAAGTTTGGACATTTGTGTAGATTTTTACCAGGCAAGATAAAATCCTTTATGGAGTTGAAGAACCTGACGCCTTTGTTTCTTGAAGATTCGTCTTTAACATCAATCACCGACTCGCTTTCTGCATGTTCCTTCAGATTGTGCAGCAGTTTCTCCTGTTTTTCTTCTTCGCCTCCATCTGTCCCATCCTCTAAACCCTTCTTGTGAAACAAGAGCATATCGTCTGCATCAATGTGAAGATGCTGTTCCTCCGGTTCTGGTTCTACAGGAAGTTTCATGTCATCTACGCCATCAGACACAAACTCCACAGGCTCCCTTACATCCGGTCCATGCGTCGGTTCATTATCAAACTCAGTGAAGCTACTGAGCGGCCGTGAGACTTCTTTATCGTCTCTGAACTCGGACAGATCTTCTTGGCTGTTTTGGGTAAACTTGTTCATAGAATGACCTGGTTCTGGTTGGTTCTGCTCCTCCGCTCTGTATGTGCCATATCCAGAGGTCACTGGGCTTTCTGCTGCACCGTCAGTAGTTTTCCCATCATCAATATCATCACTTTCCTCTTCCAGAGTCACCTCATTAAATAACTGCAGTTGTTCCTCCCCTGAACTCTCTGGAGGCGAGTCCTCTGGGTCGTTGACGGGTCTCATAATTTCCGCATCCTCCTCCTCGTCTTCTGCCTCTCCATCCGACCAGAAAGAGGAGTAAAGGGAATCCTTCTCGTCATCGCTCTCTCTGTCCCACTGATCATTATACATCTTGTACATGGCGGCGCCACGCTCGGCTGAGGTGTATGGGGTGAAGGATCAACAGAGGCAGGAGGTTGGAGGAAGAAGCTAAGAGGATTAGCTGAAATCCAGAGACCTTACACGCCTCTTCTCACAGCTGAAACAGCCCCAGCTGCTGGAGACTACTGGGTAGTATCTCTTGATTTGTTCATATTGATTTATTAACCGATATTTACTCTGTGTCGCCCATTACAGCTAGTTTCAAGGAGTTTGATTTAAAGTTATAGGGGACCTGTTGTGCAAAATTCATTTTTGGGTCTCTATTGCTTTTAAAAACAGCCAAAGTGCTTCCTGGCAATAAGGCAATGTTTTCTGGTGCCTGGAAAATGATCAGTTTCAAAAAATCTTCTGGATGTAACATCACAAATTAGCAGGCACTCCCCCTTGCCTAGCAGCCCCAGTGAAGTTTAGCCTGTTGCCTAGCAACCCAAGCTTGGCTCCAGCACTTTTGGTCAGCTTGTTTTACCGCTGTATGTGCTGTGCAATGGCTGCTGGAAAAAACAAGTGTTTTGTTGTTGACTTACAATCCACCAACCACTTGCTGCATCCTTGTTGGTTGTGCAGGAGGATCTACTTCTGCTTTTCAAGGATTTACAGTTGTATAATTGCGTATATGTTTGCAGCCATTTTCATGTGTGAGTGTGAACGTTGATATTGGGGGCATAGCCAGCAGCAGATTATTTGGATTTAAAGTGACAAGACGCCGTAAAACTGCAATGAAAGTTGGTTCTACGGAGTACCGAGACGAAGGAGCTCAACACAGCTGCACAGAACTTTAAAAACGTAAAAAGTGTATATTTTCCTTCCACTTCTCATTCTGAAGTACTTTGTGATTGTTTTAATCACATAAACGTCAAATCACAGAAAACGCATCAAAGTCTGTGGTTGAAAGTGGATGAATGCTGTTATAAGGCACTGGGTATATAAATTGGTCTACATTACCTGAGTCATCTGTGTAAATCGATTCAGAACAGATGAAAGACTTTCCTTTTCGTTTTCTGAGAACAAAAAACAATGACATCAGAAATCACATGGTCGGTGTTTCTGTAAAACCTGTGCATACATCTAAGTGATATAAATTATATTAATTATAATTTACATTTTATTAAAAATATAAAGTTTTCCCCAGAGTATTATAAGCCTGGCGGGCCACCAGGCTTTACTTGTGCCCCCACCAGGCTTACTTTTTCTGTTCTGTCAGAGAACATTTTTCCTCAAATGCTGTAATTTCAACACGTAAAAAAAGGAAATAAGTTGAAAAGTTTGAGCTTTTCTCAGCTTAAACTCACCTTAAAACCTTTCTCTTTATTACTCGCCTCTGCTGGTGGTCTGAACAGGAAGTGTAGCTGTCAGACAGCAAAGAGTCCAGGGTGTCTTCGGTATCCGGCTCCTCCTGCAGCCTGTTAGGAGCGCCAGCTGAGAAATGCAGCCTCGGACCCACAGACAGTGCAGCGTACGAGTCGCCACAGCTTAGTGACCGTACATTGTGTTCGCTCTTCTGTGTGTTAGACAGCTGTGCATTTACAAAAATTGAACAAAACAACCAAATAACGTTAACTTCAGGGTTTTCTTGGCAGGAAAAAACTATTACAAATCAATACATTTAGAGTTTTTCTTGAGATCCTATTTGTAAAAATAATATTAACATAGATCAAAACATTCTTGAGAGAGACTGGAGGACCATTTTGGTTAGGGGTGCATCGATTGTTTTCTGGCTGATCGGAAATTACCGATCTTTAAAAAACTTGACCTGCCAATTCCGATTTTGACTGATACCAATTTTCTTTTTGTCTGAAATGTTGCTCAATATTGCGAGAAAGTTGCTGAGTGGGTAATAGTGGGATGACAATTGTTAACTGTAAACATGCAGACAAGGCCGGTCAGTCAGTCAAACCTCTTTTACAGGAGAGCAGAAGAGGACAGAGGATGATTTTTAGACCTTCACTGAGGTAGATAAGATCGGGGAATAAGATTAGGTTCAATTAAATGCATTGGCCGATTACTGATCTCCCAAAATTAAGCAAATCATGGCCAATAAACTGGCTGACCGGTAAATGGGTGCACCCCCAGTTGGTACTAGTGACTATTTATTATTGAACGATAAACAAGCCTCCAGTCACTGTGGCAGCAGGGCTCAAACTAATTCACAGGCTGCCTTTCCAACCCAGTAGAAGTAGCTAAGCCTACGCAGGCACACCAGTGTAGAGAGCTGACAGAGGAGGAGAGATTAATAAGTTTGTGATAGTGATAAAAAAAAAAAATAGCAGAGGTGACAGACATAGGTAAAGCAAGTGATGGTAGCCAGCAACTACAAAGAACAGTGAAAAAATACAACTACATCTGGGTGTAGCTTCATATCATTTACCGTTGAGTCACGGCCCGTTACTTCTTTATGTAGGAAAAATCCATCCCCTGAATTGTTATTGTATGACAGGCTGACTGTGGGGAAGTAAAGCAAAAATTAAGGAAAACTCTGTTACCAGCGTCATGATTAGGTGGGTTTAAATAACTGGCTCTCTCACCTTTTTCTTTAGTATAAGCAGGAAGACTTGACTGAGATGCTGCTCTCCGAGTATGTATGCTTATATGTGTGGGAGAGGCCAGGTTTTTCCACTGCCCATGGCGTATCAGTTCATCAAGATCTGACAGGATGCATACAAGAAAAATTACAGATTTGTTTTCTTGTTCAGCACATAAATATCTACGACTTCAAAATCTTCCAAGAAAGAGACATATGGCTCATGAGGCTGACCTTGTTTAAACTCCAGCAGCCTGTGTTTTGGTATGGTCTTATAGCCAAGAATAGCCAGTTGCTGTTGAATTTCTTCCTCTGAGAAGTCCAGGTTGTCCATAATGTTGTCAATTTTATGTTCTTGTGGGAGAAAGTAAACACACAAAAGCCCAATATTAAACTTTAATTATTTGTACATCTGCACCAGAAAGTGTACATGATTTATTTTGTCTAATGGTATCACTTTTAAATATTAAATCAGATGTTAGAATCACTTAATCATTGCTTAAGCAGCCTTGGTGTAAAATTATGTTGAAGTAGTTTTACTCTTGAGTACTCTATCCACCTCTTCCTATAACATTTTTCTTTGAATCTCAAACTATATTTATTAGGTTTATATAGCCCGTGTTTTAGCCACACTTCTTATGTCAGGGTTAACAAAGTGCTTTTTATATACGGGAGGCTAAAGAAATTCACACCAAGTATGCTACCGTTAGCTTAGCACAAGTCAAGGTGATGTACATGCAACCACGCCCTAATGGTCACCTGTAAACGCCTGATGCCTAAAATTCATACACACTTTAGCGTTATTGCTTATAATCGATATTTTAAAGAATATATGTTTCAAAACTATATCAAAAAACAGCATTAAATATATGGCTAAAATATAAACGTGTAGGAGAGTTCTGCAATCAAGAAGTATTACCGTAACAAAGATTAAATGTCAGACTGAGCGCTGTGTGTATTTTTTCAAGAAGACTAACGTAATTTATCTTTTATGTCATTTCTGTTTTGATTTAGCCTTTTAGGTTATTGGTCGACGATAAGTAGATTTACTATAACTTAGACTGCTGCCATTGTGTTGTTGAGAATCAAAAATCTGACCTACCTCCGCGCAAATTTGTTAAGAAATTCGCCACCATAAAAAGTAAGACAGCGGTTAACTGAAAAATAAAGCAACCTTCGGCATAGTTGTCGCTTGTGTGTAAAAATCAAGCTCTTTAACAAGGTTGCTGCCTGAAAACTCAGCAACATTAGCTAATAAACAGTGCCGTTAAAAAGTGTACACACACACAGCACCAGGACAACAGCCGTTAACAAGCTTTGAAAATGACGCCATCTTCTTCTTCCTCGACTTCTTCGTGCTCTGTAATGTTTTTCGGTAACTACCGCCACCCACTGGTCAAGAGCCTGTAAGATCACGCCAGATTTTACTGGTTCGGGCATACTGTTGAGATACTAGAGCGTATTGATTGCCTAAATGTTTCTTGTGACAAGTTTCTTCATTTCCCAATTGATACTTGTACATCTGATGAGCTTGTTGGGCGCATAGCTTTGTTTTTCTCCATTTGCGAAGCCTCGACAGACCCCTTTCTGTGTCGCTCCCTCCTCCAAAGCGCGGAGGTTCACTTAGGGACCGTCAACAAATTTCCGAACCAAACACTCCTGAGAAGCAAAAGTAAATAGACGTCTTGCCTTGTGACCTTCTGACACACACACACACACACACACACACACACACACACACACACACACACACACAAATGCTAATTCATGTTGTTACATGAGACATACTCATTTTACTTAATTTAAAGTGATTTCAAATATTTTAAATATTTTTTATATTTAAAAAATATTATTTTTTTCAATAGCTTAGAAGTCATGTGACCAAATACTCTTAATCAATGTGAAATTATTTTACCAAATTGGATAGATGAGGCACATTCATTATTCCACTTTAGGCCTATTTTATATTTTATAGGTAATTTTATGTTTTAAAAAATAGGCTTTTTCTTCAATATCATCCAAGTCATGTGACCTACTGATTCAAAATCAATGTGAAATTACTCTGCTACTCTGGCCAGGTGATTATTTTATTCCATTTTAGGTATTTTATTATATTTTACAGGTCATTTTATATGTAGAGAATAAGATTTTTCTTCAATAGCTTCCAGGTCATGTGACCTACTGACTCAAAATCAGTGTGAAATTATTCTATTAGACTAGGTAGATGAGGCAGACTTATTGTTATACCATTTTTGGTCTTTATATATATTTTTAGGATTTTTTTCAGTCAAAATTTATGATTTTTCTTCAATAGTTTGAGGGTGATGTGATCTATAAAGTCAAAAAAAAGTGTGAATTTCTTCTACTGGAGATATGAAGCAAAAAACCTAATCAATAATTATTGATATAGACTGATACAAAACACTTATTTTGTGATATGTATTTCAGCCATATTTGGTTCCTAACTGCTGGTTTAAAGTGAGCCGTTTCTTCTGATTGCTGTTCCATAAGATGAAGATCAACAAATTATTGACCAATTACTTTTTTCTGAAGCTAACAGATTAGTGTTTATGATCTGCTGAATTGAACAAAATTGATCTGTTTGCCTTGTAAGGAAGCTTGATAAATACAATTCTGAATCACAACATGAAAAGTGAAGTGAACTAAATTTATAGAAATTTAGAAAAATGGATAAGTGAAAAAAAAAAAAGATTGAATCAAACTTGACTTGTTTGGACTTGCATTTAATTTCAAAACGGCCTCCTTGTGAGTCCAGAGGTTGGTGGAATCAACTAACTCACTCACTATCTGGTTACCTAGCAACTCACTCACAATCTGGTTACCTAGCAACTCATTCACTATCTGGTTACCTAGTAACAACCTGCTGAGTAACTGGCACAGCAGCAGTTTCAAGTTTCCAGCTGCTTAAAAATAAAAAAAACAAAGCCGTGGAGTGAAAACTGTGGATAAAACAGAAAAAGTCCCATCACCAGTTTGTCAGTATTCCAGATATTTAAAACAAAAAGTTGTTTCTCCCTGTTATCGTTTCATAAGTTGAAGATTGAATTATGTATGACAACTTAGTTTTAATGAAGCTAACAATTTAGTGTTTATGATCTATTAATTTATTACAGTAAAGAAATGGAGCTGTTTGCCTTGTAAGGAAGCTTGATATATTCTTTTTTCTGAATCACAACGTGGAAAGTGAAGAGAATTAAAATGCTAGAATTTCTGAAAGATGGACATATGAAGAAAAATAAAGGTTGAATCAAACTAGACTCGTTTTCCCTTCCCTATTTAGTTTCAAAATGCCCCCTTGTGAGTCCAGAGGTGTATTCGCTCCTCCTTCAGCCCGCTGAGCCTCACCTTCTCAGTCAGGACTTTCTCACTTCCTCCCTTCTAGCAGGCGGTGGGCTTTCAGTCGGGGGGGCCACCGGTAGATGGACTGACCGAAAGCCTCGTCTAATCTGGTAAAAAGGAGATTTTTTAGTACCTTCCTGGCTCTTTGGGAAGACCATGGCTGTCTTCAGGACCCATCAGGAGCCTCTGCTGGTGGTTTTACTGCAGATGGTGTTGATTTGCTCAGCTCAGGTGAGAGGCGTTTTTCATCACTGCTGCATGAAAATAGATAATGAATTTTTCTCTAAGCAGGATGTTAAGTCACTCTAACTAACTCGCCTTTAGCTGCTTACTGAGTCTACTTTCTTGGATGTTTTTTTTATAACTTGATCCCTTTAGAAATTAACTTTAACTAATTTATATACATTTGAGGCTGTAAGTCACGGACTTAAAGTTTTAGCACAATATTTTGTGTTGATATTATTATAATATTATGATTTTTTTAGATAACTTTTTGTTTCTGACTGCATACCACAGCAATTATAACCTCCAAAACACAAATGCTGCTCTTGAAAAACATTTCCATTTGTGATGCACTGCTTTAGGTCACCAGTCACATAACCTATTGTGATTCATGTTACAAAAATGCACACATATTTTCAAATCTATTGATATCTATGGATATTTTCATTGAAAAAACAGTGAAGAAAATAGTAAATATAATATTCCCAACAATGTGGACAGTTTTTGAGAGGGTTTAAACATAATTTCTGGAATTTTTTGTGGCAAAAATAAATCAAAATAATAGGCAATACTTCAGAACAGTTTGTATTGAACATCGTCACTTCAATGGAACACAATCTCTAGTTAAAATAAGTTAAACTTATTACTGACATTTGTTATTTAAGCAACTGAGATGTTTATTTAACATTTTTAATATATTTATATCAAAGAATGACCTAAAACGCCTCTTTATCCCACCATGTTCAGCAGTGAGGTTTAGGCAGAAACTTTGTAGTTGTTTTGTTTTTATCTTGTTCTACTGCTGTTTAACCCAGGAAATTAGATTTTTAAAAAAAAATCTGAGTTAAATAAAGATTAAATAAAAACAAAAATGAAAACCATGCTACTTAGGCAGTTTAATGGGACTAAAATGAAAGCCGGGTTGGGTTTCGTGACCTTTCCTCTCAGATCAGGGACAATAAGTCTTTGTGTGATCGCCCTGCGCAGTACCGCAGCACTGCATGAGGCTTAAGGCTGAAAAATGAAAATCTGCTTTGTGTGTTTGTTTAAAAGAGGAGCGCGGTTGGCCCCAGAGGGCCCCCCGGACCGCCAGGCTTCGCTGGAGTACCTGGAGTCGACGGAATCGATGTGAGTCTGTTTATTTCATCCCTCAGTGAAGCCAAACATCAGCTGTTTCAGCTTCACAGCTCTTCTTACTGTACATTAAAACAACTTTCACTCATATATAAATGATTTCTTCTTCTCCTAATAGTGGAGATCAAGGAAAATATTCCAGTAAAATCAAATAATACACTGAAAAACAGAAGATGGAACTCCAACTAAAATTTATTACATATAATTTAATTAAGTTTGTCAAACTTAATTTATTTATGTTTATTTACTTGGATAAACTTAATTTGGTTACTTGTAACAAATTAACATAATTTTATTAAGTTGGACCAACTGTTTTCCTTTTTCAGCGTAAAGGTATAGTGTGGGACCATTTGAGGAAATAGTAACTGACAGAAAAATAATAAAAGGAGATGAGGCAAAATATTCTAGTAAAATAAAATAATATGGTTATAATGTGACAGAAAATTGTTTTTTTTTTCCATTGTGTCATTTGGATTTTTGAGACTTTTATTCAATCAAAGGTTCTGCCTACAATTAGGAGACGATGAAAAGAAGGAAACAAACAGAAGTAATTAGTTTGGAGCTTCGTTTCCAAATGAGGGTCATTTTCAGGTGTTTGTTTGAGTCTCTGATTGAGAAGAAAATATTCTGTTTTTCATCACCTTTATCTGAAATACAGTTTAAAAACAGCATCAATCAGCTGTTGGTGATCAGGAAATCTTAATTTAATTATTTCAAATACACTTGATTTATTTCGTTTTGGGTTTTTCTGCATTATTCGAATAGTTTTTTTCACCTAAACATAACAAACATCTCACAAATATCCATTTGAGATGCTAAGGGGACAGCATATAAAACCATAAACAATATGTTGAGTGGCCAATTTATAAAACAAATGAACCTTTACATGTATAATTATTGTTTTTGTGTTAATTTTAACATTTTTTCTGCATGTTCAGGGCGAGAGAGGGGAAGACTCCTCTGTAACTGGCCCAGTAGTGAGTGATTTTCTAATTTCTACATGCAGAGTTTCATAATGAAAACAACATTTTAGGATTTATTTATTAAACTGCACCATAACGAGTTGAACATTCCTGTTTCCAGGGTCTTCCTGGAGATAATGGCAAAGATGGGTCTTCTGGAGCTCCAGGCCTTCCAGGAGCAGATGTAAGTAAAAAACAAAATTAGGAATGTGTGTATTTATTAAATTTTAATTAAAAGGATGTTTTTTACATCTTGAAATCTGAAGTTGGAGAACTGGACTTATGTGTCTGCTGGTATCTGAACAGTTTGGATTTTCCTCCTGTGGGCAGAAATGTAGAGAGAGGAAAAATGTCCCCCTGAATAAATCAGTGGGGCTATTTAGGGCTGGGTCTCACGTGGCTTCCTGACAGAAACAGGGGTCTTTTTGTCTGCACCTGAAAGGAGTTTTGGGGGGAAAGGCTGTTCAGAGATGGCTGACAGGAAAGACATGTGGAGTGGTAACAGGGAGTTTTCTGTCTGTCAGGATCGCCACAGAGTGATATTACACCATGGAGGTTAAGGGTATATGACTGAGCTTCAGCTGTAGGAGCAATACAGTTTATTTTTGCCAACTGTTAGGATGGAGAAAAGCATTTTGATTGCCTTTAGACGGGTAATTATGATTTTATCACTCATGCACGGAGAAAGGAAGTTCAGTGGAAGGCCAAAATTGGAAAAACACAAAATCTTGCTTGTAGTATTTTTGTCTAGAGTCTAGAGCAAATATCTTAGTCCACTTGAAATGAAACCAAATTAATTTACAAGAAACTTTTCAGCAAGACATATGAGCTTGTTTTAAGTAAATAATTCCTTAATATTTGTGAAAAATTACAAGTTCCACTGGCAGGTTATTTCACTTGACACGGGGAAATATCTTGTTATAAGTGAAACAATCTGCCAATACAACAAGTACTTTTTAAAATCAATATTCAAAAATTATTTACTTAAAACAAGCTCCTACATACTGCTGTAAAGTTACTTGTAAGTCAGTTTTGTCGTATTTCAAGTGTACTAAGATATTTGCACTAGAAACTAGACCAAAAATACTTTATAAGATTTTCTGTTTTTGCAGTGAAGGGTAAAAAAAAGACACCAGATTTTCCTCAAATCATAATTCAAAGGAAAAATGCAAACAAAGTTTAACTGAAGAATGAGGTAGTCTGATACATTTATTTTACCTAATATTTTTGTAGTTTTGTAGATTTATTTGAGTTAAATTTAGTATATGCTGTTTGGTAGAATCACCTTTTAAACTGTATGAGTTGGGTCAGACATTTTGCTGACCTGTTGGCCCATTCTTCCTGACAGCTATAATAGGGTGTGATCAGTATTTCCACATAATCCACTTTTGTCCCCACAGCATGATGCTGCCACACATTCTCATACTTCACTGTTATGATGGTGTTGTACTTCAAATATAACGATGTGCTTCACAGCCATATACTTTATTTTTATCTTCATCAGACCACATGACCCGTTTTAATGTCTCTGACCCTGAGTGGCTAATCATGCTGCATTTGGAGTTTTAGCTCTTTCACCAGCGTCACAAAGCATTTTCATTTATTCACAGGCTTATTTACACCTTTATATAACAATATGAGTGGATGTGTCACTGTCAAGCATCTGGAAATTGTACAAATATAGATGCATTAGACCTTCAGTTGGAGCGAGCTAGCTAGTTTGCCTGCTAGCTTGGTTTAAAGCTAGCTAGTTAGCTCGCTCGCTTGCTACACCGATAGGATTTTAATGAAATGTGTGTCGTCTGCAGGGACCTGTGGGACCCCCGGGGGATCCAGGCCCTTTGGGCCCAAAAGGCTCAAAAGTAAGTCTGTCATATTTACAGCATTAATAAGAACTTTCCAGAGGATTTTCACACAGAGTGTTTTCATCAGCTATGTCTGTAAAGATGGGATGGCCCCCCACTGATTTCTAGGTTTCTGTGGATCTGAAAATAACAAAGACAGACAAAGTTTCTGTTCTTGTTTGGGTTTAGGGGGAACCTGGAGCTCAGGGACCTGCTGGAGAACCGGTAAGTAAACATTTTCAACATTTCTGTTACAAAGAGATAATATCACAGATTATTATAATCTCCAAATTGTTCCACCTAACCTTGCAGTAAACTGTAGCGTTACTGCAGAGATTATTACTGCACCAGTTTGCCTTTGTCTGATTGCATCTGCTGGGTTATTCCAGATTAACATCATAATCTCTGATTTGTCATCCACAGGGAGTAGGACTTGATGGGACTGATGTGAGTAAAGAAGTTACAGACACGTTCCATTATTATGCTTTGTTATTGTAAAGCAAAGCTCTTCATTCTATGAAAATAGAAAAAAAAAGAAAATAAAGTCACAGTTTAAAAGGAAACTTATTTTATTTTGTCTATCAAACACAAATTACGTGAATAATACAAAAATATCCACATCAAAGTAAAATCAGATTGAACTGTTTCAGTTTTTGTCTGACTCTGGAAATTGTAATTTATTATAGTTTTTTATGTAGCAAACATTAAGAATCTGATGCTTGGTACCATTTTGCAGCATTCATTACAGTTTCTGCTGGTTCTGTTACAGGGTATTCCTGGCACGGATGGGCTACCAGGTGAACTGGGAAAAGTAGGACCGCCTGTGAGTAAACAACACCTGGTAGAAACTTAAAGTAATCAACTGAAATGGAAACTTGCTTTTTTCATAAGAACATACTTCATTTTTTTAAGGAAATAAGAAGATGACTGATGAAAACTTCTTTATGTGTTTCAGGGAGCAAAAGGGAGGAGAGGTGCCGTTGGTCTGCCTGGTCCTATTGGTCCTCGGGTAAACATCCGTCTACATCCGTCTGGTTCACTTTATACACACGTTGCATGTTGTCGTTTACATCTGGAAACAACGCGGTGCTGC